CTCAGCAACAGTCACAAGACATATGAATGCCCAGACCTCGATGTTACGCCTACCAGTGCCGTTACTAACAATATAATTATGTATATAGATCATTACTTGACTTATTAGCCGTTACTTTGTTTTCATTTTTAAAGAAGACTTTCGAAGTATTGTTCACCGTTGTTCTACGAGAAAGGAATAGGCTCTTTTTGAAGGCGATAACTGATTCCACAACTCGATTGTGCGTGGCAGGAAGTTACGTGAGAAATGCACAGTCGTGGACTGCCAACCATCGATGTGGTAGTGGTGGTCTATGGCAGTTTGACACGTCATACGGTGGCGATGGTATTGATCTAGAAATATAAGCTCTGCAGGGCGCTCCTCACGATAGATTCGATAAAAAACACAAATAGACGAAACGTCTCTTCGCAAGGCCAAAGTCGATACGATTCGAAATGTCTTGGTCCCCGACGATTGGAGGAGTTATAATTCACATTATGTTATTATACTCATCCTGTTGGGTTTCATTTTTATGTATTAATGCCATGAAAAGATCGCAAGAGTATTTATTACCATTCCATCCGTAGAATAGACATATGAAAAAAAAAATAAAGACGTGGCTTCGATTCCGACTTTTTTTTAATTTTTAGAGATTTAAGATTTAACTGATTTAATTTCTCACGATTATCAGCTAAAAAATAAAAATCATATTAAAGCCAGACTATGTGATTTATCTTGAAGTTCGTAATTTTCAAGAATATTTATAAACTTCCACTTTTTTGCTCAATTTGCCTAATTGCTTTTATTTGAACAATCAAATTAGGAAAACGAGATTGTTATTATTTACTTATTTAATTATTTTAATATGTTTAGTTAAAGTTTAAAAAAAGTAATTTTGAATTACAACAATTACAATTAACAAGTACAATTGATAGAAAATTTGCGTGGTTTCACTCCTCACTCATATCCTCTCGATTTCCTCTCAAAGACAATGAACTCTTCGCAGGAGTAATTGTGATACCAAATAATCTCCGAAGAACTTGTCCCCAAAATGATGCTATTTTGCGGATATTATCTTCAATTTGTGCTTTCGAGGAACTGCAATGCTTAATTCTGTCTGATAAATCATACATGCCTGCAGTCCCAAGTACCCGTTAAGTAAAGTTACTTAAGTGGCCGACGGCAGCGTATTCGCATAGAGGATGAATTCTCGTCCTGGTGTGAAGTGCACGCCGGAGTGCCTCAAGGTGGTGTGTTGTCTCCTCTTCTATTTGCCGTATTCATTAATTAAATTTCTCAAAAAATCACTTCTCTCTATCACATGTATGCAGACGATCTCCAAGTGTACACACAGTCAACTCTTGAAGACTTGCCTACTGCTGTTTCTGCCATCAATGATGACCTGGCCGCTGTCAGTGAATGGAGTAAAATCTATGGTCTCAATGTTAACCCTACTAAGTCCAAAGCTATTATTGTTGGTGGTGTTGGTTTGATTTCAAGAGTTGACTGGAATAACGTTCCCTTGGTAAAATTAAATGACGTTATAATACCGTACTGCACTACTGTGAAAAATCTTGGTGTCCAATTTGACAATTCCCTCTCGTGGTCGGAACAATTCAATCAAGTGAGCCGAAAAACATGTACTGCGATGGGTTCTCTCCGTCGTTTACGTTCTTTTCTTCCCATTCCAACTAAAATTATGCTAGCAATTGTGCTAGGGATTGCCCTACTCCCGTCCATACTCGATTATGCGGATGCAAGCTATCTTGATTTAACCGAAGAACAACTAAATAAACTTGAGCGTATTCAAAATTTAGCTATTAGGTTCATATTTGGTTTACGCAAATATGATCACGTTTCCGAATTTCGTTCAATGCTCAAGTGGTTACCCATTCGTTTTCGCCGGAATCTACACACTGTCTCTCTTCTGTACTGTGTATTATTTAACCCTAGTACTCTAAGCTATTTAAAGGAACACTTTAAGTTTCTTGGCCATAACCATCCAGAACGAGTTCTGCGATCAGCTGAAGATCTAATTCTAGCACCACATGCGTACAAAACTAAATATTATAAGAACTCTTTACAGTTAAGGCCATCTGCTTGTGGAATGAACTTTCTCAGCAAATTCGTCGTTCGAAGACGCTAGACAAGTTTAAAATTGACGTAAAACAACATTATCTATCGCTTTGTTATCCATAGTGTTTAATGGAAATATTCAGATTTAATTCTTCTCTCGTGTATTTATTTGTATATATTTTATATTTATTTATGTTTATGTATGTTTATTATAATTTTGTTTATTTTATTATATTTAAGACTATTTTGGTATTAAGTAAGTTTATTGAGCACACCACCTCCCACTATTCATTAGTTTATTTTTCCTCGTCCTAAGGTTGTCTGGAAGAGATCGCTTTTTAGCGATAAGACCGCCTTATTGTACCTAGCTTTTAAGACTTATTTCATACTAATTGTATCAAATTCTTTGTGGTGTGCAATAAAGTATATAATAATAATACCCGATCTCTATATACAGCGTATCGTTACAACCGCGACAATAAATGAACACAAATAAAGAGGATAACTTTTTAAAATTTTATTAAACATTTACATTCTTTAAACATCAATATTGTTACTGTCATTGTTATTAAATGACTTATTAAATTTTCCAAAACAAACAATTTTAGAACACCCTTACGTATAAAACTGGGTTGAATGAATTTAAAAGAGACAAAATATACTGTTAGAAGGAGAGGCTTGTAATGCGACGCTGTGGCAACGAATGAAAAACTCTCTGAATGTATGAATCAGTCACTTGTAATTGTATAGGGATGTTTCAAATTTTGTTTCTTTTTTATATAATTAGCTTGTTTGAAAATTTTTTTTTAATTATGGATTTTTTTAACGTTTATATTTTTTTATGATTATGGGGAAGTCGCGTTAGACGTGTGTTCATTTATTGTCGCGATGGTAACGACACGCTGTATAATCATAACTACTATCACGTATCATGTGTATGGTCCATCAAAGTTGTTGAAACTTGCCATTCCACTTAAGCCAAAGCTTCATTAAATAAATATAAATAAATATTTATTATGTTTTAAAGAGAAACAAAAATGTACATTTTCAATTAAATATAATAAACAAAGGATTTGTTTGATTACTTAGGTGAAATAGAATTTTTACGTTATTTATAAATCTTTATAGAAAATAATGAGTAAGTACGTACACTCAGCTACAAATTTCGACCGCTACAGTCTTAGGCAAATTAAAAATACATTTTGAACAATATCTCTGATCATTAGCGGAAATTTTGCGAAATTTAAGTAATTAATATCGTTGTAGAAATTTACCCAATGCACAACTAACTGAACTTACAGTATTTCGGTAAATTTTGACAGATCGTTTGTCCATGCAATCGCGGCGTTTTGCCTAATTGAGGCGTTTAGGTTATATCGTCGCAATTGTGGGCTTCGTAACGACTTGCGCCGCCGACTGTACGGCAAGAATAGCCGCTAGTTGCGATAGCGTATTATTACCAAACTGTTATTAAAAACGGCGCCCAGGCGGTCGGTCACCTTTCTCAATTTGTTAACTATAACATTATATAAGCGGTTGTTATGGCCTGGGCTTGCTCATTACCTACTACTACTGACACAATTTACTTACTCGTACACAGCTACGATTCATTTTTACTCTCAATGAGATAACATCAAAGCTGTACGAAACGTTGCACACTCGATATCGAAAATGCGACGAGGTTGGTGTGTTTCGATGGCGAAACTCGTCATTATGTGTCGAACATCCTACCATTGATACCATCAATGGTAGGAGCGTTGCAAAGTATTTTTGAGCCCATAAAACTAAATAAAATAAGAAAAAAAAAACAAAAATATTTCAAGAAAACGACATTAAGTATGTAGCATATTACACATATATGCCAATCATTAACGTACTGTTATAGCATTGTGTTGTAGCCTGGTCTGAGGCCGTTACACTACGTTGAGGCGCGTACACAACTTACATCAGGAGAAGCTCTATGACCATGTCACATTAAACTTTTTAATGGTAATCAATATGGCACTCCGTCTATCAAGTCAAATTGTACGCTTACATATATTACACATTGCTATTGCACTCTCAAACCATCCACGCAAAGGAGTGGGCAGCGAAAGTCTTACGTTTACAAATCACTACAAAGTATAAAACAAAGTCGTCCCGCGGTCTGTCTGTCCCTATATGTATATTCTTAGATCTTTAAAACTACGCAACGGATTTTGATGCGGTTTTCTTTAATAGATAGAGTGATTCAAGAATAAAGTAAGAAGAGAGACACTGATAATTTTAGAGGTTTCTAATGCAGCAAACAAACATTCAGCATTGCACCCGTGCGAAGCCGGGGCGGGTAGCTAGCACATATTAATCTATGATCTAACTACCCGTCCTCTAAATCGCCGATATAAGTACAACTCGTCAATTCTCATTGTTAGAAACGAATGCTAAAAGCCTCGGTAGCATAACACTCTCCCGAGAATGCGCGCGAATTGATGATAAAAATTGTCGAGTCGTTGTTGAACCGGTACCAATATTTGAAGAGCCTTGACCGCAGCCGCTTGACACAAATGGCCATCCTGCACCCGCGGCCATCTTGTGCCGGATTACTTCTCACTCGTAATCGAGGTTATAGTAACAATTTATTTGCTTGTTTAACTAAAATGAGCCATTACAGGTTTTGAATGCACTAATCCTAGTTGCCTTCATACATAAAAAACGTGCCTTTGTAATATTTACATTCTTTTCACCAATAAACACACCGCATCGCGTGGTTGTGGTAACCTTCTGGAAGTACCGAGGTGTAGACTGGTTAAAACCAGAAAACCGTTTCATTGTAAATATAATAAAATTAGTTTCAAACCAGTTTGTTGTTTGAAATTGTTTACTCTAGTGCATTCATTTGTTAAGCCAGTCCTAATGGAAATGACTTATTAATGTCGAAGAATACAGTAAAGACAGATTCTGTGAGAATGCCCTGCACCTCGCGCCAAGAGCCGAACACCGAGGAGGATTATACAAGGACGAGTGCAACTCCAGAGAGTGAAGAACTGAAGAGTTTCGAACCGCCCTTTGTGATCGTCCAACCTTGGCCCGCTAACAGAGTACCATTCGCGGCGGGCCGTTGAGTCAAGCCGGTTTCGACAGAGCCCGTAACCATGCTCCCTCTACGTCGACGACGCCAGTCTATGCTTTCTTGTGACTGCCGTACGTTTGAAGTGCGGGCGACAGTTTCGTAATGCTCATTGGTCGAGTCGCGCAATTAGCTCTTTTCATTATGACGGCTCGCGGCGCGACTCGCTCGTCACGTTTCCGAACTAAACGGGGTCAATGACCTATTGACTGGAACTTTGTTTTAGTTTATTACGATTAAGTTGGATAAATAAAAAATGTTGATTTTCTTAATTTGTCCAACTTGATCCCTTAATTGTATGATAATTTCTTATATTTACGCTTAATAGAAATGCGCGTTTCGGTACCTCAATAGAATCCAAGAAAGTGCTTTCGAAATATTTTCTTTCGTTACGATTTCGAAAATACGACATAAGTCAACGAGTTAGAACTTTTATTTTACGACTAGACAAGATATTATATTGTCAACTTCCTGTTTCTTTCTAAAATAATAAACAAACATGGCGGATTTTATCTTGTCTTGTAGAGCCTACTTTTAAGATGATGAGTCGAGCTTGCCATATTCGATTTATTTTATAAAAACATAATATTATAAAATCGATAGAAATATGTACAGATCATCTTTTCTTGAATTACAATTATGGTAGGAAATATATCTTCGACATTTGATTCACGTGTTTCGACCATCAAATTATATCTACAAGTTTCTATGAATTGGCCGGTGTGAGGGTCCGACTCGCACTTGGCTTTTTTAAAACAACAACTAATGCCCCTTTTTCCGAGCCTTCGCAAATGTGAAATAACTCTGTAAGTAACATACGACATAATGCTTTTACTTTGTGCAGAATCGAACTCCCAATACGGCGCGCAGCCGCTACTTTCCATCCACTCAGCACTTGCTGTCTGCAGTGTCTTTGGAGATGCGCTCGAGACTGGACTTGATTAAAGAGATCACGGGATCCCAAGCTGTTGAGCGTATTCAACCTTCTCTCTAAACTTTTTAGGGTTCCGTACTCAAACGGTAAAACCGGACCCTTTAAGATGCCTCTCTCTGTCTTTCTGGCTGTCTGTCCGTCTGTTTGCCTGGTGCCAGGCTGTATCTCATCAATCGTGATAGTTAGACAATTGAAATTTTCACGAATGATGGTCACGAGTTGAAAAACAGACTCAAAAAATATTTAAGTGGTATTACAGCAAACAAGATTTATTTTGCCGTTTTTATAATAATGGTACGGAACCCTTCGTGCGCGAGTCCGACTCGCACTTAGCCAATTTTATTTTAGTGTTTTAAATATTTTTAATCCAATGCTGAATAACTCGATGCTTGTCGGTGCGAGTACGACCTAACTCGCTCTTGCCCCCGCGAGGGCGTGCCCTTTTATGGTGACGTGTGGGAAATGCCTACCCACACGTCACCATAAAACAAGTGTGGGTACCTCTTGGATTCCCCGTAGGTGACCAAGCCACGGCTACTCAGCCCCTCCGCCGCGATAAGGCGGAAACTCAGCTGGAGGGGATGGGAAAAAGAATTATGAAAATCATTTTTACTAGTAAGCTACACCAATCCGTCACAGTGGCCAAACTATAAAAAATAAAACCCAAGGGATTGTAATTATATAACCCCGTAGTTGATCTTAACATGCAATATAAAAAAATAAAGAAAGAATAACGTTTAAAATTTTAATAATGCAATTGCGATGCCTGAAACCTGACGATAATGATCAAATTTTCATCTAAATATTAGAAATTGTTAATAATGCGTGCTCGTGAAGACAAAATGTGTGTATAAGTCCTTTAATAAAGTAAAAACCTTAGTTCATATTAGCGTAAAGGTAATGAAAATTGTGCACAAATTAATAGCAGCTTTCTTGTGAAATTTAGTTTTAATCTTTTTTCATCGATTTTCACTGATTATTCTTTATTTCAACATTCATTGGAATTAAATTATTTGTAAGTTCATAAAATATCGCGTACGTTTGGGTCGGTATACCCTTCTTGATTGGGGTTCAACGCAATTCTATTAAGCTGAATGACCTTAGTAGTTCATGTCCTAATTTTAGAAATTCTAATTTATTAATTCTACAATTAATGAGTTAATTTGTAATATATGATTGTAATATATAATAAAATGTAAGATTAACTAGTTTCAACTACCAAGTACCTCATTTAAATAAACCTTGTTTAACTACGGCACAAGTACAAAACAAAGTAATTATGTGTTGATAACATTCCACTGATTTTTTTATGAAAATTTCCGGTTGATGAACAGTAAACATTTTCGAATCATAATACTCTGATAGGGCCATAAAACAGATTCGGCTGTTGCACGAATGGGCAGGTACGTCCGGATAAGTACTACGACCTCACAGAAGACCGACGTAAAGTAGAAGTGATACACTTCTGCGTTTCTTTCTGGTGAGTGAAGTTGCCGGGGCCCATTTTATTTAAAGGTGGCAACGCATTTGCAACCCTACGGGTGTTGCAAATGTCTATGGGTGGTGGTTATCATTTAACATCAAGTTAACCGCAACCTCGTTTCTCACATTAAAAAAAATTTATTCTTCTGCTCGAAAGGATTATAACAATGGATGCGCCCAGCTTTGCTTCAAATGCTAAAAAAACGATGTAGATAAAGGGCGTTGAGAATTTCGTCGGTGTGGCAATCAGCCTTAGTGGCTGGAGCGTCAGGGCGCGAATCCCGAAGACGTGGGATCGATTCCCACAGCGGTAATAAACTTTTCGTTCCTTTGTTTCTAAAAAAATGAATGTTTAATCTTAAGTCCAGAGGATTAGCAATATAAAAAAAATAATTCTCCAGATAAAAATAACGAATTCATGTTACAAGTTGGGCTTAGAGTATGTCCATGCGATGTTTCGGTGGCTTGATCACGATTTCACAGCAATTGAGCCCGGGTCGTCTCGCCTTGCGTTTTCGTCATGCCGGATCAGCTGATTGCGCACGACACAATATGTCTTGCACAAAGTCCATGCCGCAAGTGCTGCTTTTTAAATGAGAAACGATAATGCTTATTCTTCACGTTCTTGGCGATTCATGGTCTATAGATTCCTGGCTTATTGTTTCGCGTGGAATTGATCTAATGTTGCATCCTCACATCTGCTGAAATTCAGTGTAGTTTTCATAGAAGGTAGGTAGTGTATCATCACCTTGTATTAATCCACTGCGAGATGCACGTAGTCTTTCCATGCCTTCCACCACACACCAAGAAAACGATAATGAATTTTTCGCAATTATAAGGAGCACTTAAATACCTATTCATTACTCATTGCTGTAAGGTATTTTTGTATTTTTACTCACAGCTATCCTCGAGCTCGGTCATATTGTGTCGGATGCTTTCAATGCCTTCTAGCGTAAGGTTCAAGGCGAGGTTCTGATCGACGAGGAAGCTCCTTCCACGTACTTTCGGCGTCCGAAAGAAGTTGTTGGATCTTCTTTGTTTCTCCTCCTTGACGCTCCATAACTGATGAAATGTACTACTTTATCAACACATAATAGCCGACGTCACTAATAACAAAATTTAAGTTTTTTTTTTATCTAAATCATAATGCCCTAATGCCCAAATTTTTTCTCCGTAATTATTGTTTCAATTATGTTATATCTTTGTCGTATTGTATATAATTACCAATTGTATGATGTAGCCTTCTACATCATACAATTGGTAATTATATACAATACACCCTAGATGGCATCTAGCATTGCTAAACACGCAGTAGAAAAAGCATGTTGGATGTCAAGATTTTCGTTCAGTTTGATGCTGATTGTTGCTTAAGTTTATTATTGTTGGCTTGTTATTAATGTTTAGAGGCACTTTAATAACCCTCTTAAGCTGTGCCAAAGAGCGAATAATCTTTAGCCTTAGTACGGTAGATTGAATTAATAAAACTACTTAATCAAAAAGCTTCACAGATATCCAATGTAAAGCTTTGATAAAGTACATTACACGATTTTGATGATTTTAAGTTCTCGCTTAGATCGTCAGCTATAGTAGATAGGGATCTGGAAGATTACGATGAAAACTATAGGACAACTGAACAATGGCCCCAGCAAATAATGTGTTGGCTGTTACGATGATCATTCAAAGTTCTGCCCAAAAAAAAATAATAAATTCCCAAACGGTCAATCGGCATACCTATACAATTTTAGAAAAATATTTATGTTATAAGTCGATACTTTTAATCTGGATGTAACGATATCCGAAATGTATATTTGAGTATGGATCTAATATATACAATCCTATACAATCCATTGCACTGTTTGGATATTTTGCAAGCTCTCGTTAATTTGCAAGTTCAGTGGCAATTTCAATGAAGATGATTTCCGAATGAGCAGTTTGCCCGCCTTCTAACACTGACACTACTTCTAACACTGGCAAATGTGTTCTGCGAACGCCTAAGACAATGAAATTAGGGAAGTTTTTCTAGGGCACCTGGGAGCGTCCAGGGAGTAAATTCGACCAGTTCCATTGTTCACATTTCCCGTCAAAGAGTCGTATGCAATCTTTTGTAGCTGATACCATTGTGGAACTTTATACGAATTGCGGACTTTATTTGGATATTGCTGTGCTCTTAGTAGTCTTGATTAGTACATTATGCCCCGTTTTCTGAAACACTGATCATTGTAGATATCAACTAATCAAATTTCATTTTAATTGCCAAAAGGATGGATAAACTCTCTGAATTGATTCACACAGTAATACTCTTAATGATCAGAATGATCAATTCAAAGAGGTTAAACTCCTAAACATCCTTTTGGCAACTCAAACGACATTTGAAAAGCAATTTGACACCTGATAAATTAACATCTACGATCAGTGTTTCAGAAACCGGTCGTATGAATTGGAAGATTGAGTGGCATCATGATCAAACACGAGTCTTATTAAAATAAAAAAAGTAAAGTAACAGCCTATACATGTCCCACTGCTGGGCAAAGGCCTCCTCTATATAGAGGGTATCAGGGCATAGTCCACCACGCGGCCCCACTGCGGATTGGCGGACTTCACATATCTTCGAAATATTTTTTTTTTTTATTATTATTTCGAAAATATGCAGGTTTCCTCACGATGTTTTCCTTCACCGCGGAGCACGTGATAAGACAGCATTTAAAGTTAAAAACTTCATTGATGCCGGCACCGGGGATCGAACTCAGGTTGCTCGAGTATTTTGAATTAAAGGCGAGCGCCCGGACACTGAGCTATCACGGCCATTTTCTTTGTTCGCCATCAATAAACATTCCTGATATACAGTAAATCTTACAAAAGGCAATCATCTTGTAATTTTGTAATCCTTGAAATTTTTCTATAGAATATCTGATGTGCCAAACGACGCTATTTGGAAATAATTTTTGTATTTTTTAATGTTGTTCGTGAAATGTATAGAACCTCTTCTCATCCTAAAAACTAATGAGCGTATTGGATGGGCAGCATTATTAGTGGTGGGGCCAATTGTGGCAATTTGACTATTCATTAGGCACAACATAATCCATTCATTTCAACGCTTTTCAATATCGACAAGTAAAGTAACAGCCTAAATATGTCGCACTGCTTGCAAAGTGTTATTTTTTTATTATTTCGAAATTATTTAGGTTTCCTCACGATCTTTTCCTTCACCGCTGAGCACGTGATGTCAATACTTAAAATTAACAATTCCACTAGTAGGGGTTTTTAACTCGGCGAGTGCCCAGACATTGAGACTGAGCTATCACGGCTCGATATGTCAGCAGTTTGTCGATATTACAGAAAAGAAAATATTTGTCAATATTATGGAGACGAACGAACAGTAATTGATTTTAATATATTATATAGATTAAAGCGAAAGAAGTTGTTGGATCTTCTTTGTTTCTCCTTCTTGACGCTCCATAACTGATGAAATGTACTACTTTATCAACACATAATAGCCGACGTCACTAATAACAATTGTTTCAAAAAGTTTAATACAGCCTAAATGTGTCAAATTAAATACTCCCTTGATATGTTAA